AAAATAATACGAATGTTCCGATTGATTAAGCCGACTGCAACATCCAGGTTGACCCTGGATGTTACAATCGGGATGCAGAAGGATGCAGAAGTGGCGAGGGCACTATCGAATACAAAAAGCAAGAACAGTGTAGGAAAAGAAGGCAAAAGTGAGATAAGACGTTTCGGTTAAAGTGAAGCTTGGGGGCAGATAATGTGATTGGTCGACGTTTGCAAGAGAACCCAAGATCTGCCGTGATCCCAGTGTGGACATTCTACGTCATACCGTTGCACACGGCGATATGTTGTTTTTGTTGTCGATCTGGATCAGCACGAGCCATCGCTGGCCTGGTACTGACCTTTGATGATCTTCCCAAGTCCCTCAGGTCTGCGTTATCTTATTAATTACTTATTAATTGGGTATCGTTGACCAGGGGAAGGGAGGATAATTGATGGGATTCTTCCCGAACGGGAAGAAGCTCATATGAACGATGGCTTTGTAATTCGTTACGTATCAGTTGCAGCTGAACGGTGAGCTCAGCACTCGTCTCCGTAAAAAAATAAAGTTCTTCGGCTACAGATCTTCGTCTCGTCATCAGCCGCTCACTAAATTTATCACTGGTCCCCTTTCGTTTGGCGCTACATGCCAGTGATGTTACTAGAATGCTCCCAGACGCGCGGTGCAGCAGCTATGTCAGGCCTTTTGATTCTCATCATACATTTCAGGAATGTGTTTTTTATGGAAACAACCAGCAGAAGATAAAAGTGATTTTATTAATCCTTGCAGTTTATCACTTTCCAAATTTATCCATAGTTTTATCATCTTTAAAATTGCTGATTTAAGTCATCGAAATTATGAAGGAGAGATTTGACATAAAAATAGCTGAAAATTAACATCCAAACTAAGACCCGTCTTTCCTGAATGGTGCGCAGCAGAATTCTGAGTCAAAAAGGTAGTTTTGGTGAGGTGGCCTTTGGCGACGTGGCTGGCTTCGGCGATGTTTGACCTCCTTGTACTGGCGTAGAAATGCGCACACCTTGCGATTTACTGGCATGCAATGCATCCATCTTTTTCGGTGGCACAGCCTGCATCAGCAATGGATTGAATGGATCCGCACTAATTGGCGTGAACATCGACATGTCACGGATCATTAGGCGTCTGCAAAACGTGAATTTATGACGAGTGGTCGAGAACAAGTAATGCGAAATTTTTGTGGTGCTTCGCTTTGGAAAAGCATACGGTAGTTAGGCAATAACGATCTTCATAACATCAAAATTGGCAAAAATTTGTCAAGGGCACAAAACTCAGTATTGCGGGCACATAGATTCAGATGAAACTGGATGCAGAGGTGCTAATTTTAACACCAAATCGGTAGGAAAAAAATTTTCTCAGGATATTCAACAAGCTACAGACTGTTGTGTATTTTGCTTTGAAAAACAAACAGAAAGCCATCGACACTCAGTAACTCGAATGTTAGGAGTGGTATGGATGCGGAAACCATAAGACCGTAATGGACAGAAAATACCTGTAACAGCTATTATCTCATCAATTTGCAGAGATGGAGATCCGGACTATGAGATAATAGCTGTTACGGGTATTTTGCTTGGCCATAACCAAAATAATAAAGTACTGGAAAGGTCGGCGAGATACTTCCTTAGATTCACTGGCAAGTCTGGGGGACGCCCCTCCCAGGGGCTTAAATAGCAGTTAATTTACTGTAGGAAAGTTTAGTTGGAACACCCCGTCGCTCCACCCCCTTCCCCCAGGAGCCTTTGAGAGGGAGGGGGGGGGGGGGGGGGGGGGGGGGGGGGGGG